GGAAGGCCCATTCCAGTTCCCTCAGGCAGGCTGTGGGGAACATCTCAGATCAGCCCAAAGCGATTCCATTTTGTACCAAGGGACAGCCCATGTTCATAACTACACTCATCACCTTCCACCCACATGGAGACTGTAGGGAGAGTTCCATTTGACCATGATGCCTTAACTCCCATCAGCTGGCAGGCCCTGTCCCAGGCTCAGGGATTGGAACATGGTTGTTGAGGCCATGGACCTCCGAGTTAGACTCACCTGGGTGGAGCCCTGGCTCAGCTTCTCACAGGTGAGTCACCCCAGGAAAGCTACTAATTAATCTTTTTAAGCCTCAGTTTCTATGTCTGAATAATAGAGACACCAAAGCTTATCTCATAGGGAGTGATACCATGAATTTCAAAGGTTTAAGACATGCTCACCATATAGCTAGAACTCATAGGAGTGTGTGTGTGTGTGTTGTGTAAGTGTGTAAACTTCTATGCACCTTTGATGCTCATGCTGAGTATTGTGAGAAAGCAGTTTGTAGGGGCCCTGGGAGCTGGGGCTTGGGGATGCCTGCCCAATTTTTATTCTAATTCAGTTACTCACCAAATATATACTGAGGGTCTAGTCTGTGCCAGCCTCTGCCCCAGGCAGTGGGAAAAGCTCTGAGTGGTGATTAGATGGTCACCTCTGCCAGTTCTTTTCTGTGGTCCCCCAGATCCATTCCCTGCCCTATTCTGTGCCCTGGAGGCCCACCCTGTCCACTGCATACCCGGCTGCCCTGCTCCCGTTGAGTTTGGCCCTCGAGAGCCCTGGCAGGAAATCCGAGGGTGGAAAGAAGAGGTTTGCATCACTGGGGGCATCTGTGTTCCTTCACCCTGGTGGTTCCCATCACCTCTTTTGAGCCCTGGCAATACCGTCTCCTCCCCTTGCTGCTCCAGGTGTCCTGGCCTCACCCTGCTGCTGGCCCTGGGAGCCTCAGCTCCAGCCCACACTGGAAATGGCCCTTCATGAAATGCTTTTTTTTTTATTGGCACCACCGGGAGTAATTTTTTTTTTCTGGAACCTTTGCAGATATACTGGCTGTTATTGTTACTATCAGAGCTCCGCGAGGCCTGAGTTTCCCTTTCTTGGGGAGAACTCCAGCCACCTCCTTTATCTCATCTCTTTGTTGTAAATGAAGCAGCAGATCAGCGGACTAGGCACCCTGAGGTTTGCTTTGCCTTTAAAGATTCCAGGTTTAGTTTTCAATTCTGTGCCTGCTCTGGGGCAGGGCTCAGCTCTGGGTGGTTCCGGGGTGCTCTCCACTTAGGGGAGCAGGAGGGGGAAGATCAGCATCTGCACCCAGCTGTGCCCTGCCAGGGCACCCGAGGGCAGCTGTGGCAGCTCAAAGTTCCTCCTTCAGAACTGCTCCATCTTCCCCTCTCTCCCCTCCTCCTTTACTCAGCCCAATGCTTTCTACGTCTCCCTCCCTCTGCCCAGGACACCAAACGAGCCAAATAATTCATTCTCTTGTGCGACACATATGCACAGAGCACCTACTATGTGCTCAGTCCTGGTCTGAGTAATGAGGGTACGGCAGTGATCAGACAGGCGTTCTTGGGTGACTGCAAGAATCAAAGGAGATGGGGATGAACATTATCCAACGTGGAGCCTGGCATCGTAGGTGCAAAGGGACTGTGAGTGAAACTGGATTTAAATGATGAGATATTGAGCCTTTCTCCTCTAAAACCACGTGGTTATTGACAGGGGTCCATCAGGGTGCAGACAGCAAGCCCCGGAGGTGTTCAGAGTAGCAGGGAGGGCTTGTTGGATTGGGCTGATCAGGGAAAGTTCCTCAGAGAAGGTGGGACAGGAGATAGAATAATTCTCCTCAGGAAAACTATTTTGTGACTGCAAATATTTAAAGTGTATGTTAAATCCTTGTATTAGAGTTAGCGTCCCGCCCATATGGAGTGGATGGCTCCAGGTCAGGTGTGGCTCACAGCAGTGGGGGTTTGGAGTACTCCCTGAGCTGCTTACCAGCTTGTGATGAACTCTTCTGAATATATTAGAAAATAAGGGTAACACAACTACCCTATGAGCTTGTTAGGAGAAGAAAAGTGAGTGAGATGTGGATTGCAAACATTCTTCAAAGGCAGCGCAGAGGTGCACACAAGCGAATCACGGTGGTTCTTTCTGTTGTCCATGGTCAGGCATTCTTGCACTGCTGTGATGACATGGCCCAACACAATGCCTTTGGATTCGGGACTATTTTTCCAAACAGCTGTCCTCTGCTCTCCTAGATTGCATGTTCACTTTCTGCCATCCTCATGTCACTCATGTCACCCTAAAGACCCACTTCCTCCCCATCCCCAACATTTACTTTGCTCTGAGTCTGATGTATGAATGGTGTATGTAAAGCGTTGGAACTGCGGGTGACACCTAAGTTAGATGGGGAGGAAATGGCATTGCCAGGATCCAAATCCAGAAAAGGGTACCCACTTTTTTGTATGTGCCACTGGAGGAAGGCTGTCCCTTCTCTTCCCCTCTCACTTGCCATGTGACTTGAGGAAATGCTTGCTCTTTCTGGGCCTTGTTTCCCTGTCAGCAAAATAAAGATGCTTCATTGGATGACTTCTCAGGTACCCCTTGGTTCTAGAGTCTCTAAGTCTATATGTTTCCAAGAAAAAACTAAAGTAAGAGCAAAAACATTGACATTGCCACTTTAAGACTTGAAAAATCAGGGCTACCTTTACTTGCTAGAAGCCAGACATTGTTCATTTAATTACTCATCCTCACAAGAATTCTAAAAGGCCAGCACTATTCTTATTCCTAGGCACAGAGAGGTTGGGTTTCTTGCCCTGGATCACACAGCATGCATGGGGTGTGACTGGGCTTTACTCATAGCAGATGTCCTCCACCAAGAGCCTTGGACCACTTCTCTCCTCTCATCCACTGTTTGGGAGTCATCATGAATCACCATCAAGAGTTGGTCATGCTTTTCTTAACACCCATCGTTTCTTGGATTTAACTTTATTTTCCTAGTATTGTCACATTACACTCTACTGTTTCCCAGAAATTTGGGGCTGAGCTGAAATTATAATGAGATGTTTAATACCTCTGCCTTCATGGTGTTGGATGATATGTGGGCCCTACCTTCTAAATAAATGTAAGCACATATTGAGCACTTACGATATATAGGATCTATTCTGAGAACTTGACATGTGTTAATACTTTCAATCCTCACATCCACCCTGTCTGATGAGGCCAATCCTCTTATCACCCCCACTTTGCAGATGAGGAAATGAAAGCCCAGAGCACAGGTAGAGTAGTGTTCCTGTGTCACATTGAGAGCGAATGGCATTGCTGGAATCCACACCCAGGCTATCTGGCCACAGACACCAGGCTCTTATCCACTTCATTTTACTGTCTTTCTCAAGATAGCTTTCTCTGGAAAGAAATTCTATGGTATGGTTTTAGAAATTCCGTAATAAAAGGGTTCTGTGGTCAACAGCGTTTCTAAAAGAAGGGTTCAATAGAGTGAAACTTCTGGATTCCTCAGAATTTTGAATAACCAAATGGTGATCAGGAGGATCTTTAAGAGCAGGACAGAGCAGGCACACTTGCTAAAGTCATTTGATCATGAGGACTCTATACTTCTCATGGATCAGCACATATTTTGTGAAAATAAATTCTGGAGGCATTGCAGATGAGAAGGTATTCAGGGGGAGGCGGCAAATTCCAGATTCTCACTAGACACCCCCCCCCATTCTACCTCTCCCCCAAGTATTCCCCCATCACTCTATGTTGACCCTGGAATGCAAATCATCACTACTACCTGATATCTATACTTTTTGTAAATTTGTATTTTCATGAATGAAGCTTTTAAAGTGAGACACATTTAGGTGTTCTCCTGTGGATAGGAGGACAAGTTGGATTGGAGAGAATGGCGGAAGATAGTGTAGAAGCCATAGCACCAGATGCTGTGGTTGTTCCCAAAAGTTGCACAAAATAAGAATGTAACTTCTGCTTTTCATGTACTCTGGGTGGCAACCGGGGAATCCAGCAGTGTGCTTGCGAGGACGGAGTTGGCCAAGTTGGGGGGCAGTCTAACTGTTACATCTGAGAGAGTCTTGATTGTCTAACCTGCTGGCCTTTCTTGCTCATAGCACCTGCTGGTGGCTCAGCATGCTTCAACTCTGGGATGCAAGCATTTCTCCTTGCCTTGTCTCATTTTGTCAGTTTCCATATCTGACCCCATTCTGTACATGGCTACCTAGCACCTACCTTGGGCTATGAGCCAGGCAACTATGGGGTTAGTTCCTGTTGAATCCACACATAAGTGCCAGAGTTGGCTACAGCATGCTCTCTGATTTGAAGAAGAACTCATTGAATGGAGGAACTAAGCCAGATGCAAAGCCAATCATAACTTTTGGCAGAATGTAAGGATCAACAGAGATGGGCAAGTACAGAAGTTTGAGAGATTATGCCTAGGTGGTGGTGATGGAGTTGGGCTTTGAAAGATGAGTAGATGGTAGCTACTCTGAGAAATGGGTGGGAAAGAACTTCCACGGTGAGGAACAGCCTGAGCAAGGAAAGGAGAAAGTCCAGAGGGTGTTAGCCTGCCAGCAGCCAAGTGGCACTATATTTTAGCTCTTATGCTGTTTCTATGACAACCAATGACCCTTCCTATGTTAGAAGCCCCCAACATCAGGGAAATGATGGAAAGCTTTCCAGGTAGGGAGTTTCTCAAGAGCCCAGATAAGTTATTTAACTTGTAGCTACTCTGGGGCTTCCAGTAAAATGGGGATAAAGAACTAATCTCATGTATGTAAAGCTTTGGAACTATCGGTGACACCTAAGTGCTCAATAAATGTGAGGATGATGGAATGCTTGAAGATTTCAATAAATAGTCTGACCATAAGATCTACACTTACTTTTGCATTTACCAATTTCTGAGCTGGTCACATTCAGTAACTGTTTATCAGATGACTTGAATGACTGATTTAATAAGGGATATTTTTCTCATATTTCTCTCTAGGAAGTAGAATGTGCCAGTTGCCTCTTATCTTTGGGGATCCAGACAACCAGACCACAGCCTGGGTGGGAAGAGCTTGCACTACTGGACCATTCATTTATCTTCATGTGCATCTTCTGTGAGTTACTCTCGGGTGAGAAGAATATTTGACCCCTATTTAGAGAGATTGCCTTTCACAATCTCACAGTTCCCTAGCTGGGATTTGCTGAGCTGACAGAATGTACAGAGAAGAGCTAACTATTTTTAGGATGAATTAGCAGGCGCTGCAAAGTTCTAATCTTTTTATGTGCCAAGCACTATGCTAAGTGCTTTTTAGGCAGTGTATTGTTTAATTCTTCCTATTTTGCAGATAGAAAAACTGAAGCATAGAGATATAAAGGATCTTGGCCAAAGCCACAGAGGGAGGGTTAGTGAAGCTGGAATGCACCTTTGGTCTTCCTGGCTTCAAGGCCTATGTTCTCCCTATGAGGATGAAATTACAATGGACACAAAGGGAAACCTGAAGAATGAAATCATTCAAGTCCTGATGGATTTGTTGAGTTGTTTTACTGGGTAGAGCAGCAGGTTCACGGATAAGAAAGTTGGGGATGCTATGTCTGGGGAGCACCCATCTAATAAGGGAGGTGTACGGACTTTCTTGTCAACTGTCCATATCCTTCATTTTTCTTTTTTGGGATCTCCCCTTTCTTCACTGCATGCCACTCTGGGGTCTTGCCAGTCCAGGTTCCTGCACTCCTCTGGCCAAGGGGTTGTTCTTTGTCCCCAAATGGAAAACTAGACGATGGGAATGTCAATTATGACCCGTGAACCGAGAATGGCTAGAGCTGATTGGTTATGTTAGATCCCCTGGAAGATAGCTGCCCTTTCGTTCCTGGCTGCTGTGCTTTCTCTTCGTCCTGGGAGCTTTCTTGTGGCAGACACTATAGCTTGATTTACTTATTTTCCCTGAGTACTACAGCTAAGTAAGGAAATGTCTGAAGTTATTTTCAAAAGGACGAAGGTCTTGAGGAATGACTTAAACCCCTAGCTTTGTAACATGCTATCTGAGGGAACCGTGGGCTGGTCTCTTTCATTCTGAATCTGCGTTTTCCCAGCCATAATGTGGGGTTTTCGACAACTGTATCACAAGACATAATGGGGAGAAAAGGATAAAATGAAAAGCATACATGTGTTATAACTATTTAATAGCTATTTTTTGATCCAGTTCTCTATTGCTGCATAAAAAAAACCCTTAAAATTTAGTGCCATAAAACATTTACTTCGCTTCTGAGTCTGCAGGGAATCACTTATCTCAGTTCCACTCAGTTTCAGCTGGAAGGCAGTTTGCCCCACAGGTCTAGAGTTGCTGCTGGCTGGACTGTCAGTCAAACATCTTTAACAGCCTCTTCATGTGGCTTGGGCTTCCTTACAACATGGTGGCTAGGCTCCCGGGAGGAGCATCAATGGAAGCAGCATTGCTTTTATGATGAGCCTTAGAAATCACAGTGTCACTTCTACTTCCTTTTATTAATTAGGAATGAGTCATTAAAGCTGGGCCACATTCAAGAGGAAAGAAATTAGTCTACATCTTTTGATGTGAGTAGGACAAAGAATCTGTGGACATGTTTTAAAACCAACACATTCTTGTTGCAATGGGCCAGGTAGGGATGGGTATGAGCTATAGAGAGGCTATAGAGAGGTGAGCTGAAGTCTCATTTCTATTTTGCATTGACCTCAATGAGGAAAACAACACTTACCTGGCTGACATCACAGCTGAAACACTGCCTCTGATGATGTTAAATATTTCAGAGCTAGAGGGGCAGTACCAGGACTCTTCTGGTTGAAAGTAGCAAATCCCAGTTCAAGCTGATATATATAACTAAAAGAATTTATCGTCTTATGTAAATAAAAAGTCTAGAGCATGGCTTCAGGCAATGCTTGATCTATCCAGCAGCTCAAGGATGCCTGGGAAGACTAGGTTTGTCTCTATTTCTTCACTATGCTAGCTCTATTTTTGGTTGCAAGATGGCTTCCAGAACTTCCTTGGTTATGTGATTTTTTTGTTAGTCTCTCTCTCTCTGGATACAGTCTAAACCTTGGCCTCCCACCACTTTGCAAACATCATGCCTCGTGCCTTCCACTGTGGCCTCAAGACCTCTGAACTTCACCTCAGTTTCCAGGACTTCTGTCAGGTATGGGTACTGCAGGGGAATCTGCCTCTCTGACCCAACCACAGAAGGACGATGAGAGACCTGGGTGTGCTGGTGTGAGCACAGAGGGCCGGGCCTACCTGTTCTGCTGCCTGCAATGAGGCCACATTCCTGCCAGAGCCTTGGCTAAAAAGGGGGTCTGCGAGGTAAGGGGCAGTGCATCTCTGCTCTCCCCCACTACCCTTCCAGGGCTCAGAATCCTGGGAGGAAAGGGTTCTAGAAGGAGGACTGGCATAGGAGTGAAAACCTCCAGGTTCTAGTCCAGGTGCTGCTACCTCTGCACTCTGTGACCCCGGCCATCCTGAGCCTCAGTTTCCTTACCTGTCAAGGAGGGCTGATGGCCCCTGCCCAGCCTCCTTCTTCCCTACGACACCAGGATTCAATGGCAGTGGAACCAGGTTGTGAAAGACCAGGGCCCACAATACACGTTAGAGGATTATTATTGTTAAAAATCTTAGAAGTGGGCACCCAGAGGTTCCTGCAGAACCCAGCCACTGCCTGCAATTTGCTGCCTTTCCGACTGAGACACAGGGAGGAGGGATAGAGAGGAAAAGCGGCTCCTTTCTGAGACCACTGAGTCTCCTGCTTCCCTTGGAGGCCTCCAACTTATGCATCGCCTCCTGGTAGAATAATTTGTCCTGCTCGGCACCTGTCATCACCTCCAGAGTGTCAGCTGGCTGGAGGTGGGGAAATAGGAGCCGCACACAGAGGGATGCCTCCGCCCCTTCCTCCCCTTACCTGCGTTCCTCCTCCTGCTTCACTCTCTAGGACTGGGTCTCCCAAGCCCTTCCCACTTGGAGGCTGTGCCAATCTTCAGCCACATCTGTTTCTCATCTGAAAAATAGCTTCTTGGTATGTGAGAGGTGGTCAATCCACTTTTTCATTCTTAAATCAATACCTTGAACAGAAAGGTCGCTGTCATAAATGTAAACCAACTCATTTGGGAGACAAGTCGCCATAAATACATCATCATTAAAGTGTGTGTGCCCAGAACTGATTTCCGGTCCTTCCTGGGGTTTTTGCACGGCGTTTTGGAGAGCTGTGAAATACAGATGCCACGAATGCTGGGCGAGTCTTGCAGTGGGTGTTTACCTGCATGAGACAATTGACTCCCAGTCAATCCAAGCCTTGGGGCCGTTTTGCAGATGAAACAGTCAAGGCTCAGGGAGAGATTAAGTGACTTTCCCAAGGTTCCCAGGAAGGAAACAGGACTGGGGGCTAAAGTAGATCCTGGTCCCCAGGCCCAAGGGACTTGGTATCCTCAAAGGCATTGAGCACGTGCTTGACACAGAGGAGGGAGGTTTGGAAGGAGAAAGACAACCTTGGAGAATTGGGGTGTTAGTTGAAGGAGAACAGAGATACATAAATAAATCTCGGGGATGTAAAGTACAGCATAGGGAACAGTCAATAATATTGTCATCACTTTGTACAGTGACAGATGGTTATTGGACTTACTGTGGTGATCACTTTGTAAGGTATGTAAATGTGGAATTATATGCTGTACATGTGAAACAGTGTAGGTCAACTATAATTAAAAATACATTTTTTAAAAGTCACAACAATAATAATAAAAGAACATACTTGTAAGCATTCTAGCACATTTACTTGGATCAGCAGTTTTCCAATGGGGTTCAAGTACCCTTCTTCCTCTTAAGGTTCTGTTATTAAGAGCAGGTCCTCCTCCAAACTTTTTA